CGCCACCGTCCCCCCCTTTTTAAAATGAACTACTTTACTATTTTGATATTAGCAGAAATTTTTAAGGTTAGCTTTATTTTTCTGCTGTTAGACTGGAGGCTTTTCTGGGCTGCCTCTTCTTATAGTTAACTAATTTGTGAGTAGCAATTTCAAATTACAGTAGAATCTCTGTGGTTGACCACCTGTCTATTGACAACCTCCTTAAGTTGACCTAATTTTCATAGACATGCACCACATATACATATCAGTACAGTAAGCCTAGCTCCTTATGTAGACCACCTCTATATGTTGACCCATTTGTTATAGTTCCTTGGGTAGTCAACTTACAGAGGTTCTACTATAATTTGTATAGTCAGGTTCACTCACTGTGAAACATTATGGGGTGACTTCTAAAGGCCAGGTGTATTTTGGGTTACTATTCAACACTCAGGCATTCTGGAAGCACTGAAGGGTATAGCTCTAGTGGTGAGCTACCTTGTTGAAAATGAGTAAAGTGGCCAGGCACAGTGGCTCACGCCTGTAATCCTAGCACTCTTCGAGGCCGAGGTTGGTGGATTGCCTGAGGTCATGGGTTCGAGACCGGCCTGAGCAAGAGTGAGACCACCGCCTCTAAAAAATAGCTGGGCATTGTGTCAGGCACCTGTAGCTCTAGCTACTCAGGAGGCTGAGGCAAGAGTTTGAGGTTGCTGTGAGCTTATGATGCCACAGCATACTACCAAGGGAGACAAAGTGAGTCTCTGTCTCAAAAAAAAAAGAGAATAGTAGGGTGCCGGCCACATACACTGAGGTTGGTGGGTTCAAACTTGGCATGGGCCATTTAAACCATGACAACAGCAACAACAAAATAGCTGGGTGTTGTGGCTGGTGCCTGTAGTCCCAGCTACCTGGGAGGCTGAGGCAGGAGAATAGCTTAAGTGCAAGAGTTGGAAGTTTTTGTGAGCTGTGATGCCACGGCACTCTACCCAGGGCAACAGCTTGAGACTCTATCTCAAAAAGAAAAAGAAAAGAGTAAAGTGGAAGGAGGGAAAGGATGTTAAGGGTATATGGCACACCTCCTGGGTGAGGGGCTCAGTTACAACTTGGACTTTACCTAACAAATGCACACACTGTAACCTAATCATTGGCATCCTCATTAATCTGAAATAAAAAAGGAAAATGAGGAAAGTATATTTGTGAAAACCTCACCAAGTGGGATTTTACAGAGGGACTAATTTTTATACTATTTCTTCTTGGGGAGAAAAAGCTTTTAACTTTCTAGTTATTAAAGGAAGAGTTTTTTTTATTGCTGGCAGTAATTTGTTTCAGTTAAATAGCTTGTCCTTCATTTCTGAAACATTTTTCTTTCTTAAGTTGTGGGTTTGGTTTGTTTCCCATGTGCTATAGCCCCACCTCCTTTCCCTCCTGGCTCCTCTTCCTTATGTATGAGGGCATTTGCTGATGCAGCATCCTCCAGGCCCATTTTGGGCCTTTTCATTAGTACACCTTCTCTGGAATGCTGTCTAGAACAGTGACTTAGGTCCCATAGTCCTGGCTAACCGTTTTTACTCTGTTCTACAGCTTTGACAATTATTCTGCCAATGTTATGGTAGATGGAAAACCAGTGAATCTGGGCTTATGGGATACAGCTGGACAAGAAGATTATGACAGATTACGACCTCTATCCTATCCACAAACAGTAAGGATTGCAACTAATTTTAGTATATACAATTCTTGAACGTTTAATTAATGATATCACTATCAAATTGGTTATACGTGTATTGCTATCATTTGGGTATATGATATAGTAGCAAATGCAGTTAAATTGGTTTGGTAGCAAATGTCCCCCTAGACCAGTGGTTCTCAACCTTCCTAATGCTGTGGCCCTTTAATACAAGGTTGAGAACTGCTGCCCTAGATGCAAACCAGGGTTTTTACTTTTTTGACTATCACCAGTTATTCTGGTGCTGTGCGTTTTACATTCTTTCAGTTAGTTTTAGGACAACCATATGAAAGGTAGGGGGTTTTGGTTTGTTTTGGCAACCCAGTTTTTAGCAGCAATTAGTTTGAAGATGGCTTGCTTTGTGACCGTTTCATACCACAGAATAAAACTAAGCAGTTAAGATGAAAGTTTCTTTGAGCCAAGTTAGTGGCTAAGTGAGATGGTTCATGCCTGTAATGCTAGCACTCAGGAGGCCAACTCAGGTGGATTGCTTGAGCTCAGGAGTTGGAGCAAGAACGAGACCCTGTCTCGACTAAACGAAACTAACTGGGTGTAGTGGCGCATGCATGTAATCCCAGCTATTTGGGAGGCTGAGGCAGGAGGATTCCTCAAAGTTAATAATTTGAGGTTGCTTTGAACTATGACCCCACAGCTCTCTACCCATGCTGACAGTGAGACTATCTCAAAAGAGAAAACGAAGTTAGTAACTAATCTTACGGGTTTAATACATTTTTTTCCATAAAATGCATAGTTTCTCTGGCTTTAGTGTCTAATTCTTTTCAATGTAGATTGATGTTTGAGTTTTATAAAACGTGTCCAATCAGAAGCAAACTTTTAGTTTTGCTTCTGTATCAGATAATAATAAATGATTTATTTATCAAAGCTTATTAGAACAGTAGCTGGCAAAGACAATGATTAGAAGCTACTTTTCTTTAAATAGTTGTCTTACATGTGTGTCATTTGTCTTGTTACATACTCTTTTTTTTTTTTTCGGTCGGGGCTGAGTTTGAACCCCGCCTCCGGCATATGAGGCTGGCACCCCTACTCCTTTGAGCCACAGGCGCTGCCCCATATTCTTCATTTTTAAAAGTATTGTTTTGGAGACTGATTAATTAGTTGGAGTAAAACTTAAGCAGGACAAACAACAGAGCAGATTGCTTGCATTTAAATGCTGATTTTCTCACTTTCTAGCTGTGTACCTTTCTTCATCTAAGTCTTTATCTCTTTGCTCATAGGACTAGGTGAGTTAATACACGCACTGCACACATATCAGTTCCTGGCACATCATAGACACTCAGTGTTACCTGCTATTAGGCTTTGTCCTTGTTCTTATTTATATGTATTGATTAGTCTAGAAAGCTCGTCAGTTTACTTTGTGCCCAAATGAGTGAAAGTTGCCGTGGTCTTAGTAAGCCTGGGTTGGGCAGAGGGCCTTGGGGTCAGCGTCAGAGTCAGAGACGTCCTAGAGAAAGGCAAGCTTTGACCCCTGATTGACAGGGCAGCCTTTGATTGGTTTAACCTTTACTTTCTTTTAGGACATAGTATGGATGGAAATAACTAATCAGTTCTAGTCTACCAAAATCATTTATTTATTTATTTTTTAAGAGACAGTCTTCATCCTGTCACCCTC